GCCATCTTGGGCGTGTTGGAGGCCTCTTGGGCCCTCTTGGGGCCCTCTAGGGGCCATCTTGGAGGCCACTTGGGCCATCATGGGGCTCTCTTGGGGGCCTCTTGGGCGATCTTGGGGGCTTCTTGGGCCGTCTTGAGCCGTCGGAGAGCCGAAAAGGCGCAAATGCCAAAATCCTTCAAAAACCAATGGAAAATCAATGATTTTGGCCTCTTCGGACTCTCCTGGAGGACCTCTTGGAGGCCTCTTGGGCCGTCTGGGAGGCCTCTGGGGGGCCTCTTGGGCCGTCTTGGGCCGTCTTGGACTCTCTTGGGCCGTTTTGGAGGCCGTCTTGGACCATCTCGGGCGGACTTGGAGGCCATCTTGGGCCATCTTCGCGATTTTTTGAGGATGTCCCGAGCGAAACGGCCGTTTTTGGGCATTGACAGACGGATTTTCGGGAAATTTGCGGGTGGCCGGCGGGACGGGCCGAAGCCCACTGGGGAGTTCTTTTAGAAAAAGAACCAAAACCAAAACCTGAAATATCCAGCACGCCGTGCACCCCTGCAAGCAGGGGGCGGCGGATCGAAGACGCCTACGGCGAATCACCGCCGCCCCCTGCCTTTGTGGAAGCGCCTATGTGGCCGAACGTTGAGGCCAGACCTGCCAAGCCATCGGACCATGTGTTCCCCGAATCGGTTTGGAAAGCCTTCGGGGAACACGTGAGCGTCTTGATGGTCATCGTCGCCGTCTTGGAGGCCTCTTGGGCGATCTTTCGGCGATCTTTGGGGGCTCTTGGGCCGTGTCGGGCCGTCGGAAGGCCGAAAAAAGGGAAATGCCCAAATCCATCAAAAACCTTGGAAAATCAGTGATTTTGGCATCTTTTGGCCTTCCTGGAGGCCCTCTTGGGGGCCTCTTGGGCCCTTTTGGGCCAGCTTCGAGCCAACTTCGGCCATCTTGGTGGGTTCCTGGCACGTCTGACGCCGTCGGGAGCCGTTTTGGGGGCCTTTCTGGGCCAACGGGGGACCCTCTTGGGGCGCTCCAGGGCCGTCTTGGAGGCCATCTTGGGCGTCTTGGAGGCCATCTTGGGCGTGTTGGAGGCCTCTTGGGCCGTCTTGGGGCCCTCTAGGGGCCATCTTGGAGGCCACTTGGGCCATCAGGGGGCTCTCTTGGGGGCCTCTTGGGCGATCTTGGGGGCTTCTTGGGCCGTCTTGAGCCGTCGGAGAGCCGAAAAGGCGCAAATGCCAAAATCCTTCAAAAACCATGGAAAATCAATGATTTTGGCCTCTTCGGACTCTCCTGGAGGACCTCTTGGAGGCCTCTTGGGCCGTCTGGGAGGCCTCTGGGGGGCCTCTTGGGCCGTCTTGGGCCGTCTTGGACTCTCTTGGGCCGTTTTGGAGGCCGTCTTGGACCATCTCGGGCGGACTTGGAGGCCATCTTGGGCCATCTTCGCGATTTTTTGAGGATGTCCCGAGCGAAACGGCCGTTTTTGGGCATTGACAGGCGGATTTTCGGGAATTTGCGGGTGGCCGGCGGGACGGGCCGAAGCCCACTGGGGAGTTCTTTTAGAAAAAGAACCAAAACCAAAACCTGAAATATCCAGCACGCCGTGCACCCCTGCAAGCAGGGGGCGGCGGATCGAAGACGCCTACGGCGAATCACCGCCGCCCCCTGCCTTTGTGGAAAAGCGCCTATGTGGCCGAACGTTGAGGCCAGACCTGCCAAGCCATCGGACCATGTGTTCCCCGAATCGGTTTGGAAAGCCTTCGGGGAACACGTGGGCGTCTTGATGGTCATCGTCGCCGTCTTGGAGGCCTCTTGGGCGATCTTTCGGCGATCTTTGGGGGCTCTTGGGCCGTGTCGGGCCGTCGGAAGGCCGAAAAAAGGGAAATGCCCAAATCCATCAAAAACCTTTGGAAAATCAGTGATTTTGGCATCTTTTGGCCTTCCTGGAGGCCCTCTTGGGGGCCTCTTGGGCCCTTTTGGGCCAGCTTCGAGCCAACTTCGGCCATCTTGGTGGGTTCCTGGCACGTCTGACGCCGTCGGGAGCCGTTTTGGGGGCCTTTCTGGGCCAACGGGGGACCCTCTTGGGGCGCTCCAGGGCCGTCTTGGAGGCCATCTTGGGCGTCTTGGAGGCCATCTTGGGCGTGTTGGAGGCCTCTTGGGCCGTCTTGGGGCCCTCTAGGGGCCATCTTGGAGGCCACTTGGGCCATCAGGGGGCTCTCTTGGGGGCCTCTTGGGCGATCTTGGGGGCTTCTTGGGCCGTCTTGAGCCGTCGGAGAGCCGAAAAGGCGCAAATGCCAAAATCCTTCAAAAACCAAGGAAAATCAATGATTTTGCCCTCTTCGGACTCTCCTGGAGGACCTCTTGGAGGCCTCTTGGGCCGTCTGGGAGGCCTCTGGGGGGCCTCTTGGGCCGTCTTGGGCCGTCTTGGACTCTCTTGGGCCGTTTTGGAGGCCGTCTTGGACCATCTCGGGCGGACTTGGAGGCCATCTTGGGCCATCTTCGCGATTGTTTGAGGATGTCCCGAGCGAAACGGCCGTTTTTGGGCACGGTGGCGGGACGGGCCGGAGCCCACTGGGGAGTTCTTTTGGAAAAAGAACCAAAACCAAAACCTGAAACATCCAGCACGCCGTGCACCCCTGCAAGCAGGGGGCGGCGGATCTTGCGGGTTTTCGGCCCATCCCGCCACCGTGCCCGGGTTGTGGGTCAAAGGTTTCTTGGATATTCGTTGGGATGTCGTTAGGGGTTTGTGTGGAGCTTCCGGAGGCACTTCATGATCCCTCGGGGGCAGTTTTGGAGCATCCGCGGCCGTTTTGCGGGCTTTTTGGGGCCTCTTGGGGGTCTCTTGGGTCCTTCTGGGGGCATCTTGTGGCGGAAGGCTAGTATTGTCGATTCGGTATCCTTTTTGTTGGGCCCCTGTTGGGACCTTTTTGGAGCTCTCTTGGGCATTTGAGCCGCCTTGGGGCGTTCGTGGGCCGTCTTGGGGCTCTGTTGGTGGCTCTTGGTCCGTCTTGTGTCTCTTGGGCCGTCTTGGGGCGTCGGGAAGCGGAAAAATCGCGGATACGAAAATATGCGTTTCCAAATGAGAATTTGACGATTTTGATCTCTTGGGCCCCTTTTGTGAGATGTGCTGGGGGCCTTGGGGTTTCTTGGGGGGCGCCTCTTGGGCCGCCTTGGTGGCCACTTTGGCATTTTGAGTGTCAGATGTTTGGGGGCTTTGGGTTTTTTTGGGGGCGCCTCTTGGGCCGCCCTTGAGACCACTTTGGCATTTTGAGTGTCAGAAGGTTTTCGAAGTCGTCCGGGAGCTTTTGGGGGCAACTTTGAGGCAGCACAAGGGAGCCCGGAAAGGCCCGGACCCGCTCGGGGAGGGCCGGGCCCCACCCGATGAGTTCGGCCGGGGGGGCGTACGAGGCCAGGGTGGGCTCAAGTGTCCGGTCTCGAGGCCGCGGGCGGGGGAATTACGGGGAGGAGGAATCCCGCCCGCCTATAGAGACCCACCAGGGGTCGGCGGATGTCAAGACTCCCAGTCGGGTCGGATCTGCGCGCGGGTTTCTTTGGACATGCGGAGTCTGGTTCCTGGCTCGTGTTTTGCTCATGTGCGTTGAGGTCGATGTTGCTTGCGGTGCTCGGATCTTTTGATGCGGGTGGGGTCGGGTGCGTGGGCGGACGCACAGCTCGTCCAGCATTTCTCTGGAGCTCTATGTTTCTTTTGGCGAAGGCAGACGTTCACCTAGGCCAACAGTTCAGGACCCCCCTTCCGGTGAAACGATAACGCATCCAGCACCCGGAAGCGTTATCCTAGCACCCTGAGGAGGAGGAGGAGGAGGAGGAGGGGGTGGCGGAGGAGGAGGAGGAGGAGGAGGAGGAGGATTGGAGGAGGAGGAGGAGGAGGAGGAGGAGGAGGATAGGAGGAGGAAGAGGAGAGGGGGTCCGTAAGTGCTGACTTAGATCAGGTTTTCTTTCGTTCCATGACCTGCTGCGTGCACTGTTGCGGCGCGCTGGAGCGGCCGACTGTCTCGGGTGCTTCGTCCAAAAATGTCATCGATGGCGCATTGAGTCTCTCGTGTTGCGAGCAGGGCGAGGCCGAACTCTTTCTTCGGCACGATCGAAATGGGCACGGAAAGAATTGTTACGACTCCCAACAGCAGTTCCTGCTCATTTTGACCAGGATTCGCTGTCCGCACCGCCGCGGACGATATCTCTGAAGATAAAAATCCGCCTTCCCAACAGCGGCCGCTGTCGGTTTTGGACAACATTCGTTGTTGGACATTGTACCGATTCTTCCATTCCGACGCAGGAATTTATACATGACCACCGCCTGGAGGGGGACCTCGGCAGGCGGTGGATATGGACATATTCGGGCCCCCCGGGGCCAAAGTATATCCATATCCACCGTTCGTTGGGGCACCAGGACGTCGGTTCCCAGGCGGTGGATATGGATAAATCCCCGCCTCGCATCCATATTCAGTTCGGGCGTCCAAAATTTGTGGTGGATTGGAGTCATCTGTGCGAAGCAAGGGTACTCGAAGATGGCAAAACGGCGCAATCATAAATTGTCAGAGCTCCGCGTGAACTGTCTCGTGTCGGCCCTGGAGCACCCCAGCGCCGATCCAAGAAATCCGCGCGGACCTCAGAAATTATGTCTATGTGTGTGTGTGTCGCTGTATGTGTTGTGTGGCCGTGGACTTGGGTGGCTCGCGCGCGCCCGTTATTGTGACCTTGCCCGTTCCCGACGTTTCTGTGGCAGGAGGTGGGTCATTGCTGATTGTGGGGAGAAGGAGGAGAAGCGCGGGAGCAGAGAGGAGGAGGATTTGAGCTGGACGTGCATCCATAACCACCACCTGCAGCCCGAGTACATTGTCAGGCCCCGTAGGGCAAAACCATGTCCATGTCCGCCGCCCCCTGGGGTCTCGGGATACCTGTTCCGCAGGCGGTGGGTATGCATAAACCCCCGCCTCGCAAGGGAGGATCTGCCCAGGCTGATCTGCACCAAAAACAAGGTCACGCAGCTCGCCCTGGGCATGACGCCAGAGCAGGAGTGCCAGGAGAAACCGCGCCCGCGGGCTTGACTTGGGCTCAAAGACAGGGAGAGAACGAGAGAGAGAGAGAGAGCGAGAAAGAAAGCAAGAAAGAAAGGAACGCGAGAGAGATACTTATAGACATATATACAGAGACTGGCAGGCGGAGAGCGAGAGAGAAAGAGAGTGTGACATATTGATATATATATATATGTATATAAAACATGTAATACAGAGAACATGCTACGCTTGCCAGCGTGGAGCGCAAGCAATATGTGATTGAATAGGGTACGTGCAGGATATATGGTGAAAGCAATGTGGTGCAGTCCACCTTACAGAAATGTCGTCAACCCCACTGCTAGGGCAATCATCCCGCCCTATTAATCGCAGTGATGCATACCCCTGCGGTGACTACTTGGCACTGGATGGTGCATCTCTGCGGCTGCGCTAGTGCGCGCAAGCTCTCGCGCGTAGCGGCCAGCTGGTTTGGCACAACCGATGCGTCCGCGATAGCGCTAACCAGGGTGAACTCCCCCAGCGCGCGCGGGCACTTCAGTGCGGTTCGGTGGCTCGGGTGGGCGCGATACCATGATGACGGCGACACCGGCGGCAACTATGACGAGATTAAAGATGGTGGTGCCGATGGTGACGATGACGACGGAAAGGCCAATGACGGCGTCGATGCCGGTGACGACGATGATGATGATGATGATGATGATGATGATGATGATGATGATGATGATGATGATGATGATGCCCATGTGCCGATGGTGAAAGGTGATTTGCAAAAGATTGCGGAACTTTCGGCGACTGACGGTGACGATGACGGCGGCAAGGCGGCGGCGCTGGTGAAGGAGACCGTGATGAAGTGCGCGCGCGGACATGGAAGAATCTGCGCGTACCATCTCTTGAATCCGTGTTGCCTCTCATCTGCGTTTGAAGAGCTCGAGCTAGAAACGCTTCGAACACCACTTGTTTCGGATGGAGTTTGCCGCGTGCGTGGCGGCGCGCGCGTGTGGCCCGCATGGTTTGCTTCTGGAACGGGTCCGCGCATTGGGCGCATGCTGGATCAACGAGGATGCACCGCGCGGTGACGTGAAGGTGCGGTTGTTCAACGAGATTGCCCAAATCACGTTGTTGCCAATGATTCCACAACGCGCGATACCAAACAATTTGCGACGTGTGCGTAATGAAACACCTCAGGTTTTGCAAGTTCACGTGTGCACATGCTTGCACCGTTTGCTGTGGGACCTGTGCGCGCAAGTTGACGTTGTTTCATTGTTTGCAATGGCTTGTTTTTGCACCATGGCATTTCAAGACAGTTGGGTTCGTGCGCGTAAAATCATTTGACAGGGATCGGTGCTAGAATGGTGTGGTTTGGATGTTTTGAGTTCATATTGGCAGTCAACGACGAGGTGTAATTATATGTTCGATGTACTGTCCCAGGGAGTCCGATACCGTCGCAGGGTGGCTCCGCATGCCGACCTTATCCCTCTCAGCAGGGCCCCAGCTTGCCACAATAAAGTGTGGCCCTTTTTCTGGGGGTGCTGGGTGCGGTCAGCATGCGTCGGTCGGTCCCCCGACGTCGCGTTTCAGCTTCGCTGAGCAAACTGCCCGACAAGTACCACTCGCGGCATGGCATTTTCGAGATTGCTATGGTTTGAGCCAAAGCGGCTTGAGCCAGAATTTCAAGGGCGCGTTTCTTGAGCGCTGCTGCGACACACTTGAAGGGCAACGCCTCTCTGCCCAGGCTCTCCCCCGGAGAGGGTGCGGCGTGCCACGGGAGCCTTCACGCACCCGCCCCGCGCGAGCGGCAGTTGCCCTGTCGCCGCCGTCGGCGTCGCCGGGCGCGACGGTGCGGATGCCCCGTCGGTCGTCTGTCGTGCCGTGTCGTGTCGTCGTCGCCGTCGCCGTGTCGCCCGCCGCCGTCGCCGTCGTCGCTGGTGTGTGCCCGTTTTTCCTTTTTGCTGGACCTCGTGCCTTCACGCGGGCGCGCGCGAGGCCAACACAGAGCCGAAATTCCAAACGGTGGATCAATGGAGGCTGCATGATTACATTTGGATTTTCATGGTGCGCATCCCCTTCGACGGAGCGTTGGAAGATGTCGAACGATTCAGTCATATCCGAGACGAAACTGGCGATGATGGAACAAGGTCATATGATCAATTTCTTCCAAATACGATTCGGCCCTGCATGCCGCAGAACATTTGGCGAAAGTGTCAGTTTCGCCTTGCGGTGGAAGTACTTGGAACAGATAACGTTGGGTGGAGCGAGGCCACTTTATCATCTGATGGGAGCGGATCAGAACGGTGACGACAAGCACGATGACATGTTGAACGAGTCGAAACACGTTGTCTTCCGCAGGCTCTTGGTAGACAGCGGCCAGATTGTGCGGGACCTCAACTACACGTTCCGTATGTGGAGGGTCACGTATGGGATGGCGCGCCGATGGGGGGCGCATTAGGCAGGAACGGGCCGCTGCATCCAGTCGGAATGGAGGGTGCGAAAATGAGAACCCTGCTGGGCATGAAGAAAAAACAAAGCCACTCGGGAGACCACGGTCGGACCGATCCAAGCCGACCCGGACGCGTGCCCAGAAAAGGAGTGTAAGTACAGTCTTCGGAAGGCGACGACGGGAGAGACGATGGTCTGGTCGAAGGAGGGGAAAGCGAGGTACGTGACTGCAGTTTGCCAGGCTGGTAAGCCAGGGATAATGAACAAAAGCGAGAACAAAAACAGCCGCGCACTGAGCTCCGCGCGGCCTTCTTCGATTGGAGGAGTTGAGTACCCAGACGGATCGAAGTTCCTGTTCGGCCAGCCAGCGTGCGCCAATAACCGATTCTATGGAGGTGGCTCGAGGCGCGAACCACGCCAAGACCCATGCCCACCGGCCGGACCCGCTCGACGGAGGCGCGGAGGCGAGAACCGCCGACCGAGGGAGGTCCGCGACCGAGAGGAGCTAGAAGGCCTGCTGCTGCCATCTCTCATCGCGGACGACAGAGTAAGCAGTCATGTTGGGAACGATGCACAAGCGTTGGCTCTGCTGAGCGGGAAACAGACCCACGATGTGGTGGAGATCGGTTTCCGTTGCATGCACAGGAGCAGGGAAACCAGTGATACTGCTCGGTTCCATTTCTCAATCGCAGCCGATTGAGGAGGCCCTGGTGGCGTCCGCGTGAGCAGGCGCGAAGTTCGACGTGGCGCTGAGAAAGAAAGAGTTCAGTTCCGAGCGAGTATGCTGGGACGCAGCGGAGATGATCCGCGAGCTGGCCGTCGATCCGGAGCTCGGCGGATACGGAGCCTTGGGCGATGATGGCAGGCCCCGCGCGTGGCCGAATGCGGGCCTCTTGCCCTTGTCGGAGGCGTATGCAAAGGCAGGGGATAAGTGGGGCGCCGACAGGAGAGGAGCTGCCCATGCGAAGGCGGTCTTCGCAGCTCCCTACTTGGCGACTTGGCGGTCAGCTCGGCGTACTGGACGGTCGCGAGCCGTTGAAACCAAGAGCTTTCTTGCCTGGTCAAGTTGGGCCCGAAGAGCGTAGAGACTGCGAACAGAGCGCTCCGCGCAATATGGGCGCAGGGAGAGGCATTGACCCTCCCAGGGGCCGTGAAGTTGAAACGAAGAAAGCCCAGTGAGAGGCAACAGCCCTCCGAGCGGCCGTGGCCATGACAGGAAACAAGAAGAAATTGAGTTGAGAGGGGCCGCCGGCCGTTTGCGTTGCGTGTCTGGTTTCCCCTTTTGGGGGTCGGAACCGACGCCACACGCTTTCTGGGCATGGTATTTCTCCCTGAGGTGCGGCATAGGGTCTGTTTGGTCCTGCTGCCCGCCGTGCTGTTCCAGAGGATCTGCCCTGCCAGTGTCAGCGGCCAGCCTTAGCATCCTGCCTGCGAGGGAGGAGCACTCGTGCCCTCGAGGCTGGCGCGGTGGTGTTACCCTTTTGTTTCTTCGTGGAGCGGTGTGGGCGGCTGAAACTGTTGAGCTGCTGTCAGGAGCAGAGATTACCCGCTCCTCTCCTAAGCGTCCCTTTGAAAATAAGTGCGATGATTCAGGGGTGGCTTGCGTAACGAGGTGGACGACGGTAGCTGCCGTTTTGTCTCGAGACCGGCGGACCTTGAGTGAAGACATCGAAACTGTTGAATTCACGGCAGTCTGTTCGACTGCGGATTTACGGCGGTCTGCCCGACTGTTGGAAGGAAGACATGTTATTCTCATTGGCGTTAATCTCGATCGTTGGATTTCGTTTACGGCCAGGACCGTGACTCGCAGAGCCGCAAGGCTTGAGTAGATCGGAGGTTGTCACGCGCTTTGGGATTTCAGTACGAGAGCGATGCAGAAGTGCATTCAGGTTGATTAACTAGGCCTTCTTGGGCCGCCCTGGGTTCTTTTGAAGCCATCTTGGCCGTCTTGGAGACATTTTCGGGCTGTCTTGGGGGCCATCTTGAGCCAACTTGAACGTCTTGGAGGGGCTTGTGGGGCCATCTTGGGCCCAGTTGGGGCAGGAAGAACCTTTCCAACCACCTCTGGGGCAGCTTTCAGGGTGGCCGGCGCGCTGGGCCTACGCCCCACACGTCTAGCACGCTGGGCACCCCTGTGATAAATCAACAGGGGCGGCGTATCGATTTGTTTTATCAGGCCCATCCCGCCACCGTGCGCGGCTTGTGGGTCAGAGTTCTCTGGGATGTTTTATGAGATCTCTTCGGAGCGCGCTCGGGGGCCTCTTGGGGGCAGTATTGGGACCTCTTGGGGGCATCTTGGGGCCGCTTTGGGGGCCCCTTGGGAGCCTCCTGGGGCTTTTTGGGGGCCTCTTGGGGGCCTCTTGGAGGCCTATTGAGGCCTCCCGGGGGGCCCGTGGGGCCGAGGCCAGGCCATGTCCGTTCGGGTCCCCCATTTGGGCCCCCTTGGACCGTCATTTGGGCCTGTAGGGCCGTCTTGGGCGCTTTTGGGCCGTCATGGGGCCCTTTTGGGCTGTTTGTGGGCCCTGTCGGAGGCCGCTTGGGCCCTGTCGGGGTGATTCTGGTGGCCTTTAGGACCGTCTGGGAGCGTCGGGAAGCCGAAAAGGCGAACGCCAACAACCTTCAACACTGTGAGGAGCATACATGATTTGGGTTTCTTGGGGTCCTCTTTGGAAGCGATTTCGAAGCCTGTTGGGATTTCTTGGAGCCTTTTGGGCCGTCTGGAAGCCATCGGTCCATCTTGAGCGTCTTGGAGCGATCGTTCGGTTATTCGAGGCCTTGCTAGACCCTTTTGGGGGTCTCTTGATGCCATTTCGGCCCTTCCTGGGCCCGAAAAGGCCCCGCGAAAAGGCGCGACATGTCCTTGACAAGACGCGCCGCACGGTAGATTTGGCAATTCAGGCTCCGGCCCCTCAGCGGCTCTTCAGGAGTAAGGGTCGAGGCTTGGAGGATTAGGCAGAGGACCTGAGGACGCACGCCCACTCCGTGCCCAGAGGCACGGTGGCGGAGAACAAGCAGCAAGGCATCACGGTGCCGTTCAATTGTCGACGTTTTTTTGTGTCAGGGTGCATAGTGGCGGATGCAATTAGCAACCCAGTTTGGCTGCAGTCAGAAGTTTGTAGTTGGGCGGCAGTATGCGCGTCGCCTGCACTGTGTGTTGCCCCGCCTGTGCTGGACTTGGACCGGATCGATCCTCAAGCTTGCGATGTTTGCAGTTGTTCGAGGGGGATATGTCATCATGATGCTGTGACAGATTTCGGAGGCACCAGGTGGCACCATATCAATTGTACATCGCCGCGCGACTCCGCTTCGGCCAAAGATGCAAGTATAATTGTTTGAAATTCTGCGTGCAGGTCCCATGCATGAGCAATCATAGAATTACGACGTTCCCATTTCATCCACCTAGGGGTATCTCCATGTGTGTGGCAGTGAGGCGCGGAATGAGGCTCGTGAGAGAGAGAAAGAGAAAGCCGATGCGAGCTGGGTTCGGGCGGACTGACTTGGTTGAAAGGCTCACACCAGTTGTCATGCTACATGTGCGAATCACGATGCAACGCATTTGCAGCGACAGGACTGCTTAAATCATGCCACCTGACTTTCGATTATGTTCCTCGCATGCTTTAGCGCCGTGCTGCAGGAGGGTATTCACAAGATTGCAGAGATGATCACCGGCAAATGCGGCCTGCTGTTCACAGACAAGCTCCCGGCTGACGTGGAGCTGCGCCAAATTTTCTCAGAGTTGTGGTTTTTATTCAATGCTCTGCTCCGTTGCGCATCTCGATTTCTTCACGTGGGGCCTTCCCGCCACCAGCATATTGAATCCTTGCATCACCATCCCTTCTCCATTCACCTCCTTCCTCGACCTTCCTCCCTGCACAAGCGCCGTGCTGACGCAGACTGACTCGCTTGGAACTGCTACACCGAGCGTGTGACAACCGAGCGTGAGGTTTCTGTTTTCAACCTCCACTGAGCACACGCAGCCAGTCCTACATCCACGAGCTCAAAAATATTGTGGTTGGACCATTTCGTTTGCTTCATACTTATGCCCATGCCTCTCTATCGTTTCGTCGTCTCCAACTGCATGCATGAGACTGTGCTTGTTGGATACACTTTTTGGTTGGCTTTGAAGGAGCGCTTCTTCGCGGATTACCGGCCAAGCGATTACGCTCGGTGTGGATCTGTAGCCACCGAGACCGTCACATTAAAGAAGGGCGTCGATGCACTGGCCAAGTTGCCACACTCCATCGAGGACGGCGGCGGTGCAGGGGAGGAAGAGAGGAGGTTGAGGGTGCGCAGTTCGTGAGCGAAAGACGTATGCGTATCCACGGCCTCGCGAGCTGGGCCCCTGGGCCGCGATCTTGCGGATGCGGGACGTTTTTTCGCGGATGCCCCGCGCGGCACGCATCCGTGCGACCGCGTACCCGCGGGATCGCGCCCCTGGATCAAGACCGCGTGGGCGTGGATGTGGATACGTTCATTGCCCGTGAGTAGGAGGAGGATCGGACGGGGCTACGACGAGGACATACGCGTTCCAGAGCGTTCCGGAACGCTCTGAGAAGGCCGCGGCGCCCGAGGCATCCTCTGGAGCCGCCGGTCCTCAGAGATTTTCGATTTATTCTCACCCGATTTAATCCTCGTCTTGGCTTCGTCTCAGAGGACGAAGACGAGTCGGAGGATGATGAGGAGGAGGAGGACGTTTGCTTAAGAGCGGCCTACATTTACATCACGCATAGAAGAGACCGGCCTCGGAAGCGGAGGGTTCCCGCCTCGAGGAGGCAGAGGAGGAGGAGGAGGAGGAGGAGGAAAGAGTGAGGAGGCAGGAGGAACGAGGCGAGAACAGTGACCGATGAGGATGGATGCAGGGACGGGGTACGAAGCACTGGCTCCTCGTTCTCTGCGGCCACTCGCGAACCCAGCCCCACGTGCCCAATGGACGCCCGGGTATCGGACACCCCCCCTGGCGTTCACCTGGCCACAGGCATCCTTCAAGTTCTTGACCCCAGCCGGTTTTTCAGAGTGTTGATTTGCAAGAGTAGGGTTCACATTTGCTTGTTTGCCATTCGCTGACTCCCAGGGCGATGCCAGGCCTTCCTTGATTCTGGGCGCGCCTTGCGATATCGTCCTTGTTTGTCACGCGGTGGTTGATTTGTATAACTGTGCACTTTTGCCGCTGCATCTGTCAGCTCACCCTGCGGAGGGACAGGCAGAGGATCATGATGACGAGGAGAGCAGGGTCAGGATAAGAGGACGAGACTAGGTGGCGAGGTGTTGCGGCGTCGCATGGCGGTGGCGTTGCAGGGCTGTCGAGCTGAAAAGTTGTCGTTGCCGTGCTCATCGTTTCGCAGATTCCGACAGACTGTGTAAATCAGGAAGGAGACTCTCGTCGAGCAAACAGTGTCATCTCGTGCGGTCCACGGAGGTCTGCGTTGGCGGACGGGGCAAGAAGAAGAAGAGGAGGATAGGGGGCAGACATGATGAGGGGTAGGGGACTGGTAGGAGGTTGGGAAGATGACGCGGGGTTGCGTTGGAGGATGAGTAGCTGCGGTCGGAGGAGGTGGGAGGGAGGAAGATCGGGAGGACTGAATTGGTGGGGATGGCGAGGCTTTCCCAGTAGTTGTGCGTTTCCCATCCGTGCTCGGCTTGGGGAGCCCTTGAGCAGGGCGAGGAGAGAGGAGGGGGAGGAGAGGCGAATGCAGGGGCGGAGGAGGTGGAGGAAGAGGAGGAGGAGGCTACGAGGGGGCAGAGGAGAAGACGTGGGAGGTGGCGGAGGAGGGGGACGGGAACATGATTGTTCTTTTAGAGTACCTCTGGGGTTAGCGCTTGCTTCCCTCTCCTGCCCCCCGCCCCCCCAGTAACAGTACGGCCGAACCGAGGTATGAGATCAAGGTTAATTCGGGGAGGGCACCCAGATGTTCGTCGTGTTTGCTGGATCTCATTTTGGTTCCTGGGGGAGGGTGCCCTCGAGGGTTCTTCAGGTTGGCCCGCGGAGGGCCTCGTGTTCTGGAAGGATGTTCTGTTGTCCTTGGTTCAGCCGTAGCGCCCCGAAGCCGCTCGCAGACTTGACTCCATGCAGCTGGCATGGATCCTATCAGGATGCCCTGCGGCCACCCCCTGTCGGGATGGAAACCGAGTATCAATGACATGCTGCCGTCCGGAGCGTGTTAGCGTGCCCCTTCCTTTGTTGTTGTCTATTTGCCTGGTGTTTCTTCTTCTTATTCGTTTCCTTCTTCAGTGATACGCTGGCAGGCTCCCCATTGCGGCGCGTCATTGGCATTGTGTTTGCTCTCCGACCCGGGAGTGCATTGCCCCCATCCCCACAGGTCGTTCAGGCTTGTGCTAAGACGACCTACGGACCTTAGCAGGTTCTGGCCTCTGCGCTTCCCAGAAAGCCAAATCGTGATTGCGCGCAAGCCCTAGCATTAAAATCAGGGGGCCTTGACAGACAGCCTTGCACGCTGTTTGCGCGTTCTCGTGTTCTCGTGGCGTTGGTTGTGGTGCTGGCAGGGTCGCGTATGCGTGACGCTCGCAGGCTATTGCCGCTGGCAAGGTTCGGGTTCCCTCGCTGTGTTGTGCTGCGGGTCTCGTAAGGCATTAGCCTGGTTGCCCCATCTCGCGGGGTTCGCGGGTTCCGCGATCAGTGCGCGCGCGCCAGGGGTCGGCGCAGTGACGCGAAGACTGACCGTGCATCGCGTTTCACCCCTTCGTTTTTGGCAGTCCAAAGAGCACTTCGGACAGCGTGGTTGGAAGGGATACTTGGTGACATCGTAGTTGTCCCACGCTCTTCTCCTTGGCAACGAAGGGAGAGGAGGGGGGAACATAGGAGGAGGCGGGGGGGTGGAGGAGGAGGTTAATGTTGGGCCTCGCTGGCTCAACATTGGCCGTAGATCCCAGAGTCGGTTAGCACTATGCCTCTGCAAGTGGCCGTCCACAGGGTCGTGTTTCCTTGCCCTGCGTCCGCACTGTGGAATTTGACACGCTGGTGGGATCTATTGTTCGTGCCAGCCTGATGACATAGCCGCTTGTCCCCCTGGCTCTGGCATTGCACTGCCACGGCTTCGTGACGTGTTGTGTACAGGTTGATGCTGAAAGGATGGCGACAGGCGGCGTGCTGCGGCCAGCGGCGCTCACAAGCTCTCCGTGGCAATCGCAGGCAATTGGCGACAGAAGGGCCTAAACCGATCTTCAACGTACGAGGGAGCGCGCTGCTACACTGTACTATACGATGATCTGCTCTACTACTTTACACGATGTCACACCATGTTTGTTTGTTATCGCATCTAAGTGAGCATCCAGTGACATTCGGCCCAACCCGCCACAGTCCTTGTGTGTTGGGATCGAGGTCACTTGGGAAGGTGCGATTTGGAAGCATATCGATGGATGATTGGTGGGGTCTCTTGGGATGCCTCCTGGCTGCTTGTTGGGATGCCTTCCTAGTGGATGCAAATCATTTGACTCAAATGGTAGACCTGTTTCAATTGGGTATTATCGATCCCAGGGGTCTTGATCCCTCGCGGTGACTTGCTGACGTTTCGGGGACTTCGTGTGGCCTCCTTGGGACTCTTGTGGGTCTCCTGGGGGCCTCCCGGGGCCTCTTGGGCCCTTTCAGGTCCTCCTGGGGACGCCTGGAGGCCTCTTCGGGCGCCCTTGGGGCCTCTTGGGGGCGTGTTGGCTGGTGCGGGGGCCATGTGGGCCCCAACGGGCTTGGGGCCATCTTAGGGGACTCTTGGGGCCATCTTGGGCTGTCGGAAGCCTGGAATGCGAGAGCGCAAACATCAATCAAAAACGTCAGGAGCGTCGTTGACTTTGAGCTCTTGGGCGTCCTCGTTGGGCCCTATTGAAGCGTCTTTTGGGCCGTCTGAGGGTTATTGGGAAGGAAAATGCACACAGCCACGAACAACCTCCGATTCCCAATAAGATGAAACATCTGGGAAGCGGAAGGGGAGACGAAAGTCCAGACGATGTCCACAAGTACGGGGAATCCTAGGACGTGTGTGTCTATGTCTAGGTTCTGTGTCTGCCCCTGGGTTCCTCTAGGCCATCTTGCGCGCCTCGCGGCCCTCGTGGGCCGTCCTGGAGCCCTCTTGGATGTCAAGAATTGGCGATGCGTCCTGGCTCGCCTACAGGCCCACCAAATAATGTTCTAAGAACCCTTCGTGGTCTGCACGAAAGGTTCTCAGAACATTTCTGGCTGAAGCTCTCTTGTTTTGTTTAACACATCGGGATGATGTGCTAAGAACATTGTCTCTGTTCTCAGAACATTTCTGGGTGCTACGAACATTTCGTGGTAGGCCTACGGCCGGTCCCTGCTCAAGGATGGCCTCGGGGGGCGCTGCGGGGCCCTCCTGGGCCCGTCCCTCAGGCCCCCCTGGCCTCGAGGGACGCCCTGGACGAGTCCCCCCCCCCCCCCCGAAGAGGCACGCGGCAGCACGCGGCACGCCCTGCGACGTGGTCGTCGTCGTCGTCGTCGTCGTCGTCGTCGTTTTGGTCGTCTTCGTCGTAGTCGTCGTATTCGTCGTCGTCGTCGTCGTCGTCGTCGTCGTCGTCATCGTCATCGTCGTCGTCGTCACGAGCGATGCAAATTTTGCGGCGCCCGAGGGGGACACCTTACTAACAAGGCGAAGCATCCAAAAGCCGGGATAAGGTGGCCCTTTGGACTCGGGAGCCTCGAGACGGGGGTCAATGCGAACGGGGGTCAGCCAGAGCGCCCGATCTTGCAGGATCCTGCGGGGCCAGGGTCGCATTGACCCGGGTATGGGCGCAGGATTTTGCAGGACCTTGCAGGATCTCGCAATGCCCGACTGACCCCGGTCTGGATTGACCCGGGTCAGCAGATCCCCGAGGCCCCTCTGCGACAGAAGGTGTTCTGTTCCCCGACCTTCCGGAGTCGGGTTCTCGTTTTGAATAGCGCTTTGCCTGTCCGTCCTCCGCCTCCTCACCCTCCTGCCTTCTGCCCTCCCTCCCCCCAGCGGCTCCCTGGGGGGCTGCGAAGTGCACCACCGTCGCCACTTTCGTGGGCTTCTGGGAGGTCCCGCGGAGTGGGGGGACACGGGGGTCCAGTTGGGTCCTCGCGGCTCCCCAGGGGTTTGGGCGCCGTAATCATCCAAAAGCCAGAGTAGCGCGACCCGTTGGCCCCGCTGCGACAGAAGGTTTTTTCGACGGAGGAGCAGAGCTCCTCTGTGACAGAAGGGCTCGTATTCATCCTCATCTTTTCTCGAACTGCCCTCGCTCCTGCTCTTTCTGACGCTGCCTGCTACTTCACGCGCTCATTCCCTACCTAGGCTCTGCCTAGAAGGGTTCTTACTC